TACCAGAGTACCTGTTTTGACCCAAAATGTTACTCTTCTCTGAGGCTCAAAGAAAAAAGAGAAACCAACCAGAAAGCAAGCTAAGGGAGGGAAGGAGCAGTCAGCCCTAGACAATGCATTGCATCAACCTCCAAGATATTGCTGTCCACCTCAGAATGGAATAAGAATATTGGTTACTTTCAAGCATTTCCTGAGACATGTCATCATAGAAATTATTGATGTGCTATGAAGTCCCAATATGCCTAACATATCCTCAAACATAACTCTGTACACCCTAAAAGTTTGTATTATTTTTGGAATAGCTATGACAAAATGGTTCCACAATATTTTTTAAATTAAGCGTTTGACTTATAATTGTGTATAAAGACACATTCAACCAATATTGGTAGCTATAAAAAAGTTTTCTGAATCAACTTTTCTGAAAGCTCCCGAATTTCTCTTAGCTATGACCATCCCAAACAACCTGGTGGTCATGGCAAAACCCACTTCTGAGAAACATGAATTTGCACCTGCCTGTTTTTATTTTTAAACTTGAATTCTCTGGTTCAGAAGTCCCATACTCATGGACCAATTTTTATGTTACATCCTAATCCCTGGAGACATAATAAGTGGGGCTCCTGAAATGTAGTCAAAGAGTTAATGTTTTGGTCAAAAATATAAAGTCAAGAGAAACCCTTCAGGAAAAGCAAATACTCGAATATATATCCCAGGCCAGAATCTGTGTGTATTTCAACTGTCATTAATTGAGTCCAGCATGCTTTTCCTATGAGCCTAGACACTCCTTCAATCTCATCTCAGCCCCAGCACTCCAGGAAGCTATTAGCAATTATTCAATTGGGATTTGACACCCCTATTTCTATCTGTACTTAACATGGTTCTTCTTTTGATGATGTTCATCTCCTTTTGCCCTCACCCATCCCCTCATTTGATAGTTAATTTGATCTACAAACTAATTTATTGCATTCTTTCAAGGAAACTGGTATGAGGTATTCAGGAAAGTACAAAATCTTCTGGAATGTAAAAAATGGCCATTTTTTTTTCAGCCCTTTCAAGGATTGTCTTAAAATCATTACTTACTATCCCTGTATTTATCCAGCAAACGTTCACCAGCACTACACTGCCATTTCCTCCAGCTATCCAATGCAAGATGAACACTGAAATTTTGCTTTCACCAGTCATTTGAAAAGTATAGCAGAGACAACAGATTCCTAATAAGATGAATGCTGTTCTTCGGCCCCACAAAAGAGAAAACAATACATAGGCTCTTGCTATCCGAATATACCATCTCCCCAGTTTGGGTCTCTGGCGAATCTTCATTTTTCAGAATGATAATTTCCACTGTATGATTTAATAGGAAATTGTTTTTAAGTGATTACTTAAGCCCGTAGACTAGAAATATATTTATCAGTTATACTCTAATCATACCCGTATTCCCGGAAGCATAGGCATGTGAGCCTCAAAAGTATAGATGAAAAGAGGAATGGAAGTGTAATCAGGTTTTGTAATTAGACAACCAAGACATCCCCTTGCTGCTTTTCTTTAATGGTCTTAAAAAGCTGTCTTAAAAATCCTTTCATTGAACTTGTAGTTTACTCAATTTAGTGACACAGCTTCTGAAAAATTAATCAGTAGTGTGTGTAACCCTGGCAACCCAGGAGTACAATTCTTTTTTATGGCTATCGATCGATGTCTTAGATACACTAAGGTCAGCTTTGCTGCCAGCGGTGACTCAGTACTGTTCCATGTTCCAATCCGTTGCCCCTTCTCCAGAGACCCATGCACACATTTCCCTGGCTTCCTGCCTGGGGTTAGGATCTAGCATGTCCCCCATTATAGAGAATAGGAGATCAGCGGGCAGAGAAGTGAAATGCCTTCCAAAGTTTTCATAACAAGTCAGAGGATGAGATGAAGAATTTAAATGTTCCAGTACTTACAACATGGTGTGCTGATGTTGCTGTTTTTATGGCCTCTATGAATTAAGTATTCAACACCAAGAACTGCCCACCCTTGGCTAGACAGCCACTGTTAGGGGAAAAAAAGATCTGGAAGGCATTGCTAAGTATTGTGGTCGTTGTTATTGTCCCCAAAGAGGAAGATGAATCCTGTTTTCTACGCTTACCTGTTGAGGATGCTTAAAAACCAAGATAGAGACATTTGAAGGTTGAAGCAGATACTTTGTCTAGTAGCATTAAATCTGAATGCCTAGCACATAAACTAACATCCTGTCTTTTATTCTCTTGGGTGTTTTACTGGTGTCTGAGTAAGTGACTATACTGTGCTTTTTTCCTGGACACTCAGCATCAAACAGGCCTCCCTACCCCATCCCATCTTGTCTGAATTACAAACTATTTTGAGCATCGTTTTTGTTCATTTCCTTCTACCCGTGCCTGCGTAGGGCAGCAGAAGCAGTCTGCAGCAATGCATCCTCTCGGACAATGCATTGTAATATCTCTTTCTCTTTCAAATTCCGTTTCACATAGCCATTTCTCATGTTCTGTTGGAAACCCCCAAAAAATTCATTCCACACTGTCATCCCTTTGTCCTAACCAGAACAACTCGATCGTGTCGAAGAAGGCATGAACCATATCAACCAAGACATGAAGGAGGCCGAGAAAAATTTAAAAGATTTAGGGAAATGCTGTGGCCTTTTCATATGTCCTTGTAACAAGTAGGTACTGGGTACCAGCTCTAATCTGTGGCGTCCAGTTTTCTTTCTTTCTTTTTTTTTTTTTCTTTTTTAATGTCAAAGTGAATGTCTGAAGTTTTGTCTTTTTTTTCTTTGTCCTTTTCCATCTGCTTCATTCTGTGGGGATAAAATACTTGTGTTTAATCAGAACAACTGGAACGCATTGAGGAAGGGATGGACCAAATCAATAAGGACATGAAAGAAGCAGAAAAGAATTTGACGGACCTAGGAAAATTCTGCGGGCTTTGTGTGTGTCCCTGTAACAAGTAGGTGCTGCCTGCCTGCCTGAAGCTTTGGTTTCCCAAGGCCCATCTCCAAGCCTTGACAAGCTCATTCCTGCCAGGCACAAAGGCAGGATGAGCATGTGGCATGCAGAACAGATCAATACCGTCTCCAATGCATTCATCTCATAGCATAGATGATATTAGTGGGAGTTACTGTTGATGCATTAAAAATCAGGCATACTACAGTGAAAGCTTCACTGTCAGCAACTTTTACTGATGAACGTTTCAACATTTTCTGGAAAGTGTACCTAGAGACAGAGACTAGCCTCAAGAAAGAGGCACCCAATGCATTTTATTTTCTCTCAACCCCAAAAGCCAAAATGGCAGATATAGAAAAGACTGGGGGTAAGTTTGGAAGATGAAAAACACATATATCAAGATTTGATTTTTCAGAAGCAAAAGAGACAAGTAATTTGGCCCAAGTAAGCATTCTGTAAGTTAGAGAGTATGACAGTGATTCACCCTTTCAACTGCCAGCCAGTTACCAAATCTGATCAGTGATTAGACAGTAGGTGCTGCAGCTGCACCCAATGCAGAGGTGATGAGTCCTTCAGCAAGAAGTGCTCCAGCCTTACCCAAGCTGGGCACCCCCTCTCCAATTCTTCCTCTTGGACGATCTACCTGTACACCAGCCAAAATGTTGAAATGTGTAGATTTTGCATGCACGACATCACAAAACATTCAACTGTCCTAAAGGTCCTGCAACGCTTTTTTGGAATGTAGCAGATATGTGACATGTGGTTATAAAGGTTTGCAACAGAAAGAACCTGAAAACGAGGGTTCTGGAAGATAGTATCATTTGACTAGTGGTGAAAAAAAAATGCATGAGCGGATTTTCCAACATGCATTTGGAAAATTAAACCCCTTTACCTGATGTCCCTCACCCCTTCCACTCCCCTTTGAACAGACGCTTTTCCCTAAAAGCTCTCATGATCCTAGCTTTTAGAATAGAAATTGATGTCATTTCTAGCTGATTATATGACCATTCACATCCTTTAAACTTTGAGGCTGATTTAAAATATCCCACTTCCTGTTTAGGAGGGGAGGGGCTCAATTTACAAATAAATTTTAAAAAAATTTTTTAAAGAATGATCTACAGTAAAGTCTGATTAACTGGAATCTAGCTAACTGGAACCCTCAAATATATATGTATATATATATTTTTGCTCCTTTCTACTTTGGGCAAAAAAAAAAAAGACAAATGAACAAAAGGGGGGGAAATCACATCAGGGATTGAAAATGGTTTTTTTTTGAGGATAATCTGGTAGTTTCCAACCTTTCACTCAATCTTCATCCTATAACTTTCAGATTTAAGAGGACCAAACAATAAGAGTTGATCTTCAGACACATCAAGAGAAACCATAACCAAGGAATGATTTGATCACATTCACTTGATACCGTAAGACTAAGGCAGGAAGGTGGCTCAAGAACCTAACAGATATGCAATAATCATCCCTGAAGCAAAATTTTCCTCCATGGCTCACTGTTAATTGAAGTCATCTAATTTGCCAAAATGACTCATTGCTAAGTATTCCAGTTAGTCAAGATTTAACTGTATATCCTTCAGTGGCCACTCACCCCCAAGTGAGATTTCCACCTGTTTTATGATGATTTCCAGCAGATACATTTTCCCTATTCATCAACTGTGTGTGGAGGAAGGGTGAAGGCAGGGCCCCCTGGGATGGATTCTAATGTTCCAATAAAATGATGGCCCCTATGAATTCCACATATTAGTTGGCACTAATTCCTTATTGCACAAGAGACCCTAACTGAGCTTCAAAGCTTGACCGAAGTGTTCCCTATTGTGTGTAAATAATGCTGTAAAAACCATGTGTCACAATGCAGTGGCTGGTGGTGCCCTGGACTCTCCGGGGGCTTTGCCCTGTCTCGGCATGTTTCAAAGGATTATGATAGATGTACGGCAGTTATGTGAGTCTATGTGCAACATTGTGGGTGCAGTGATTCGCCTTCTTTCAGAAACGCAAACTTTCCTACCCCCTTTACTTTGCCAAAGATGGTATTCCAGACATTTACATAGCAGAAAACATCACAAAGTCCATATAACTTCTTTAACTGAGGCGGGAGGGGATGGGGAATTGGAAAATAAACAAAACCAGACTCTAGGCTCTATTAAAGTAGTTTTTGGATCCTGTCCCACTGAGTGAGCCCATGGCTGTTTCGCGCAGTAAATTCTGACAAAGGGCTGTGGCATTATACACTAGATTCCATTTGTCCAGTTTTCTAATTTGTCTCCAGGATAGTTTGATCCCTGATCTGCAAATATTAATATTAGAGCCAGTTTTAATAGATGGCTGTGGCTCTCTAATCAAAGTAAAAAATGGGTTAAATTCTGATATCTTGTAATAGAAAATGTGAACATGGGACCAAAAGAAGTTCTGTTGTTTTTGGACTAAAAAGCGTGTGGTTTCTACTATGCAAAGAACTTAAAAACATCTTTGATTGCTTTAAATTACAACACATCCACCAAAATAGGCTGCACATGTTTCTATTGGGCACAACAGGTATGCCTGGATTTTAAATTTGTCTCCAAGGCAGCTCAGTGAAATATAGCCCATGGAGACCACGCCAGTTCCAAACCTCTCTCCCCCTGTCACATCCCAGGATAGTTTGAAGTAGGAGTTTGTAATCACTCCCACCCTGCCCTTGAGCCCGACAAAGAAGCTATTGAAACTGCGTTTCAAATCCTCATGAAGGCTATTACTGTCCTGCTAGCGCCTTTTTCGAGAATGGTCAACTTCTGGAGTAGTTTGGCTTAAATGAGAATGCTTCACTTTCTACTCATGCCTGTAGCTGGTGCATGAAGAAGACGTAGAGGGATTTCCCTTTTTGGTGCTAGATGGCTTGTTCTCTCTTCTATTTTCCTGCATTCATTTCACTACGCCTCTTTTACTTTTTGTCTCTGTGGACAAAGGTTTGTACATCAACTCTGGATGTATAGTGACTGTTTGGAAGTACCGATATATTATCTAATTTAAAACACTTCAGAGGCAACTCAAAGACCATCACCCTTGGCCAACCACCAGTCCTTTATGTCCTTCATGCAGAGTTGGAATGGTTCGTTCCACACATGCACTGGGAGAAAAAATTAAATAGGGAATCTTTGCATGATGGTGTGTAAAAACTTGGTCAAGTGTGTTTTTCCTGATGACAGTGTGTTGCTGTGGTGTGATGTACACACTCTACTTGGCAGTCTTGTTTTATGTCTGTCTGCCAGTGTGTTTTTCTCTGTGTTTTGTGTCTCAAAATATAACTGTGTCATTGAAATATTATAGAACCAGCTACCTTAATCCTTGCCTTAAATCCAACTAAACCACAAAAATAAACCAAAATACAAACAAAATATGGGCAAAGGTTACAATCTTAACAATTGCCATTGACTTGATTGGAAATGAAATGCTGAGTAGCTGAGGCATGTGGTGGTGCTGGTGGTGGCCAACTGTTTGGGTCCAGATTATGATATATCGGTATTCTCTAATGCCTCAAATTAAAACTCATTTGCTTGGTTCAGTTCTTGGCTTGACGAGATAACCATAGCTGTGAGCTTGATGCTCCGCCCCCTTGTCTTGTCACTCACCCTCTTTTTTGTATAGGCTTAAATCAAGTGATGCTTACAAAAAAGCCTGGGGCAATAATCAGGATGGAGTGGTGGCCAGCCAGCCTGCTCGTGTGGTGGACGAACGAGAGCAGATGGCCATCAGTGGTGGCTTCATCCGCAGGTGAGCCTTGTGCAGCCAACACTGTAACAGTTGTCTATTTCTGAGTAACAAACAACCCCAAACTAAGTAGTTCTTAAAATAACACGCATTTTATTACTGATGAATCTGTATGTTGGCTTGGACAGTTTTTTTTGAGAGCCTCTCCTGGGCTCACTCATTCCTTGCAGATGGGTGTGGGATGATTCAAGATGGCCTCACTCATTTATCTGGAGCAGTCAATATTTGCTGGGGTTGGCTGGGGCTTTCAGCTGAGCGCCTCTGTTCTCCTTCATGTAGTCTCTCCAATAGGATAGCTCAGGTTTCTTACATCATGGTGAAAGCATCCCAAGGGGCAGGCTCCAATGCACAAGGATTTTGCTTGTGTCAGTTTTTGCTTGTGTCATGTTTGCCGAAGTTTCATCAAACAAAGCAAGTCACGTGACCACATCCAGGGTCAGTGCAGAAGCAAATAGGCATCACACTCCATGAGTTTAATTGAACAGAACTTACTGAAGAGATTATTTACAGGAGTGTTGGCCAGGTTAATAACAAGCAATGGTAAAGCACTTATGGACTAGCAATAGCAGGAAGAGTCCTGAAGGGATAGGAGAGAGCTGTTACCAGAACCTGACAATAGTTATGGCTGTGGGCAGAGGCTATAGGCAGAGAAATGCAGCCGCTGCTGAAACTAGCAGGAAAATAGAAAGGAAATAAATGCCTCACTCCTCTTGCTCTCCAGGCTCTCAGTGGCCACTAGCTGTAAAGCCTACTGGAAGACAGAGGGTGAGAACACCTAGGTGACACTGTTGTAGAGAGGTCAGCTTTTGGGGGCAGAGAACAAAAGTCAGAGAATGGATCTGGAGGTACAAATACAGAACACTGAGCATACCTGGATTCTTATTAATCATTTTCTTTCAGAGCTGGAAGCAAAAACCAACTGAAATATCTATTTTTAAAATCTCAGATTACACAGATTTGCCAATTCAGAACTCAGGTTTCAGGAGAACAGAATACAGAATAATAGTAACAAGTATTCCTGTTGTTGAAAAGAAGAAAAGCTCGTAGAAAACCTCACAGGTTACTATATCAGGACTCAACAGCGATTAGGGTAGTTATTTGTACAGCTCTCTATACCCAGGCCACTGTAGCTGACGTTGCCAAACTACAACCTAGATCAAGTGATGGGTCACTGTCATTTAGGTATAAGGTCTCAATATCTACCTAAAATCTCACAGATGACAATTCTATTCCTGTTTCTATCTGCTCTCAAGGAAACAAGACCAGGGGATCTGAATCCTAGCTGCACCTTAGAATGACCTAAGGGTATTTTTTCTTTTTTTTTAATATCAGTGCCTGGACCTAATCCACACCAATTGCATCAGAAACTTCAGAAGTGGGACCCAGGCATGTGATGTTTTTAAAGCTCCTCAGGTGATTCTAACATGTAATCAGGGCTGAGAACCATGGAACCAGAAATATGCCTTAGCTGTTGATGATTATTTAAATAAGCTTCTTCTCTACATTAGAAAGCTAGGAAGTTCCCCTTTAATTTTCTCTGACTGGGCTGCTTTAAAAACCTTATCAGGCTAGTCTGCATTGGGAGTTATCATGGGGGAAGGATTTTAATCCCTCTGAACATTTTTAACCCATCACCACCTACAGTGGGAAAATGTTAATTAGCTAGAACATTCTAGAATAAGTACCTACTGTTTGCAATAAAGAGTTACCATCTTCTTACCCTTCAAACTGAGCTATGGGAAAAAAATGGTAAGATGGTAAGGTACTTTGAGAGCCAGCTCCTTTCGCCCCACTCAAACTGGAACAATAACTTTTATCACAGTTTTCTTCCCCCTGAAATCACCCATTCAAAATGCCACCAAAAATCCCAGAGCACTGAAATCTGAGCAGATAAAAATCATCTTGAACAAATAGTTCCCTTTGGAATTTTTGGAAGCAAGAGGGATTCAGGGGCAAACTGTAATTATTGTTACTCTCCCCATTGATGTTGGTCCCAAATGGGAAAAAAGATGAACAGAGAAATTCTGTGACTTAGCACATGAGCTTTTTCTTTCACTCTGAACTTAACTCTTGGAGGTGTTGGTTGACATGTCAGAAAGAAAACCACTTTCTAACTAGTTCCATCTTCATTCTCTGACCTGGAATCTTCCCAACTAAAATACTTTTATCCTTAAAAAAATGAAAATTGGGGTAAACATTTGAAGGGAGAAAATGATGTGCTGGTGGAAGTGAGATAAATAGATAAACTACTTAACGTCTTCTTTAAAAACAGAAATTCAGGGGTCCAACAATGCATTTTTAAAATTATTATTTAAAAATATAATAAATGAAAATTATCTTTTGATGTATGAAAGCTAAACCATGTTTTCATATTGAGTGGAGATTATAGGTGGTAGGATTGATGCCTAGAGGTCTATGGATTTTTTCTAAATTTGAGGTCCTGGGTATTGGCTTTTTTTTCTCATTCTCTATCCACTAAAAGTTGCTCTTTGACACCAGGGTAACAAATGATGCCCGAGAAAATGAAATGGATGAAAACCTGGAGCAGGTCAGCGGCATCATTGGAAACCTCCGTCACATGGCCCTGGATATGGGCAATGAAATTGATACACAGAATCGCCAGATCGACAGGATCATGGAGAAGGTGAGCATGTGGCTAGTCAGCAAGTTTCCATTGCTCATCACGTCTTCTAAAATAGCCACTGAGAAAGCGTGAAGGGCATGAGACTCTCAAACCATTATATTGGATTCAGGCACACTGGTAGATGGAAATTTTCTCCTTAATTTTCCAAGATAAAAAGTTAGCAACAGAAAAGTAAATAAGAGGGTAGAATTTAATCTAGTAGATATTCCTCAAAGATACTTCTATTTCAGGCATTTTGCTAGGCACCACAGGATCTGTAAAGATGAGGACAATACCATTCCCACCGCCAAGAAACTCACAGCCTAAGGGAGGCAATTAGCCTCCAGATGAATTTACTACCACAGAAAATGTAATTCACCAAGAGAGCCACACATAAACTGCTAAGTATTATAGTTTAAAGGAGGAAAGATTTCAAGGATCAGGCAGTGGGAAAATCTCAAATAAAAAAAAAAGAGAGTTGAATTTGAATTGAGTCTTGAAAGATGCTGAGGAACTTGCCAAGTAGATATGGTGTAGGGATAGAATAGGAAAGGGAGAAGAGAATAGTTATTTTAGTTTAGCCAGAAGATGAATATAAACTTTCATTTTTTAAATGCCAAAGCTTTAATGATAGTTCAAAAAGGCCCAGATTTCATTTCCAGTCCTAAAATGCACATGTCCAGATCTCAAAGTAGGGAACATAATCTTATGAAATTTTGTTTACACGAGGACACCAGCTGTAGCTGTAAGACGGATCCCATAGTGTCACCATGAAACATAAGAGAGAGTGGCTAGAGTAGAGTGAGAAGGGGTGGGTTTGGGGGCTTGACATTGAAAGGAGATAGAAACACTAGAAAGCTTTTGTTAAAAGATTTAGGACAGCAAAACCTGATATCCCACACTATTCAAAACTGATATAGTTTCTATGTCCTTGTATTCCACCTCCTCCCCAATCAGTAGAGTCCTAAATATTGCTTGTAGGTTTTTTAATGTCCAAATGCCAAAAGGGAGAAATAGAAACATTATAGGTTAAATGGTAATTATGCATCTATAATCAATTTTAGTTGGCTAATCTTACATTGTGTGAGTTTATTCCCTGGGAGATATTAAAGTTTTGAGCCTGAGATCCTGAATCTCTGTTTAACAATTCATTCTACTTTGGTGAACAGAGAAGGATGCTTTTGAGATCTCTTGAGTCATAAGGCTAAATACTCAGTTTCTTGGTACCCAAGCAGTCTCCACTGACTTGAAAAAAGAATGAGTAGAAAAAAAAAGAAAAGAAGAATGAGTAGACATAAAGGGAACCCTATGCCTTATTGTGTTCTATGCACTCCATATTAAAAATATCTGGTCGCATAATATTTTGCCTGATAATAGTAAGCTACACAAATGTTAGTGTTGGCTGGCAAAATGCTTGTGCTTTGCTTACTTTTACAAGTCATGACATATTTATCATTGCGAAGAGCCTTTGATATACTAAAGCTTTTAAAGCTGAGCAAATCAATAGATTTTAGAACAATATTGAGAGTTTCAAAAAGCACTGGCGCCAATACAAACTGACCTAACCCATTATGGCCCAGAAAAGTGAACTAAGAAATAATTGCTGAACTGCCTTCCAACAGAAAAATGATTTGAAAAAACAAGAAGTATTCATTTTCTATCAATGGACCCAACTTATTCACAGATGTAAGGAGATAATGTAGCTCTAACACAATTAGAGTTCCAGAAGAAGTTTTACTAAGAGAGAAGGGTCAACCTTTATTGATAGAGTTAGACTTTCAGCAAGAAAAAGTGTTCCTGGGAAGGCAAGTGGCATTTTAATTCTGCCACTTTGCATTTCTAGTTTTCTTCTTTAGAGAAAACCTTTCATTTCAGGTCCAATTTACTGCAAGGACAAAGACTATGCAGCTCTATGGTTTAAGCAAAAGTCAAGCAAGTGAATGGGAAATGGCCATTATAGTTTGTATTATCCCTTGAATGCTGAATTGCTTAAGAAGTAGGGGAGGAGTCTAGTTGCCTTTGAATAACCAGCTTTCCACCCTCCCCCATAATTATAATCTGGACATGATTTAGTTAGAGCCCATTTCAACCCAGCATTGCCCTCAAATGATACATGTTATATGAGCTTCACAATTATTAATAGACTTCCACCTTCTCATGTGTGTTCTCACTTCTGATAATTGGAAATGGTGTGCAAAGGTCTCCCACATACATAAAATAAATTAAAATCACATACGAGGAGTTAAGAGAATTTTCTGATGTTTCTCCCATATTCTCTCATGACCCCAACAACAACCTTTACCCAATTCCACCAATCATGATCCTTTCTCATCACTTGGATTAATAGTGAAGTTTTGGGAGTTCAAAACAATGTAATTTTCAATGTATCCCCATGGACTGCCAAGAAATTACTTTGCTTATTTAAAAGCCTTGCTTTCTAATATATTTATATATATATATATATATATATATATATATATATATATATATATATACAATCTCTAAGGTTAAAAAGGTCCAATTCTTTCAGAAAACTACAAAAATGGAGCAAGTTTATATCAGATGCTTTATGGGAGCTGTTGCTAAGGAAATAAGTTAATGATGTTTAAACTTCTATTTAAAGTTCTCTCAGTGGTAGATGCCATGCACACATTGAAATACAGTGAGGCTGAAGCTTCAGCATTACTCAGATGCTCCTGTCAGTGAGGAAACATGGCATTTGAAAACTAAGATCTTGGGTCCAACAGGGTTTTCCTGCTCACCAGCTTCATAACCTGGTTTTCTCATTGAAAGATGATAAGAGGACAGTTCCAACCTGGGGTCAGAATGGGTTGCCATGTGAATTAATGAGCCTCCACTTCTGGAAGTCTGAGCTGCAGCCTAAAAGTCTAAAGCTGAGGAGATTTCCAGAGTGTTCAGAAGGGTGGGCTAAACAGCTCCTTCTAACACTCTTACTGGCTCTCCAGTGGGCATCCTGGCTTTCTCACAAAGGTAAATCATGTAGCCAGCAAGTTTAGAATCTTCTAAATAGAAATATGAAAACTGGGATGGGTTACATTTCATAAATAATATTCTAGAGCATATAAATAGAAGGAATTTACAGGGGCATTCTCCAAATACCAAGAAGACATCTAAAAGAAGATTATCTCAGGATGTTTTTCTAAAGGTACTAATTCTGTTATATGTGTAATAAAGATGTTATACCTTTTGTGTCAGGTATTGCTGTATGGGTTAGAATTTTGATATGCTTCAGAAAGAATTTAGGTGGAAATCACAGATGCTCATTGCACACAGGCCTGTTCCAACTCTTCCCAAATCCTTTGAAGAACCTCATGCTTGGCTTCGAAATATCCTCTTGCACCACCATGTGAAGCCTCACCAGTTCCTTCTTAATACACCTGGTCCTAGAACGTTTGCCTCCAGAAATGCCATCCGTTTTTTAAATGGGTGATTTGTCTCATTTGAGCTTTTCTCAGCATTCAGTCTGGAGAAATTGCATAATTTAATCTGTAGGAACATTTTACAATGGTCTCAGCCTGAAATTATCCTTTGCACAAAAGTGTCATTATTTCTGATAGGATTTGTATCTGAAGAAGGAAGATTTAAAAGCCAAGTAAAACTGGGGAGAATACCATTTTCCAAATTAGGAACCCAAAGTCAAAAATATGAGTTTATAGATCAAAATAATCAAGGAAAATTAATGCTCGCTTTTACTTGTTTTGAAAGGCAACTCTTCATAATCCAAACAGATGGTAAGGAATGATTGCCAGATAATTCAGAGTTATGTATAATCTAGAAATATTTCTATTTTAACTTGGCAAACTTCTATTTGAATATGGATAACTATAGTGTCCTGGGAATTCAGAATTAAACTGAATAAAGAAGACCCAACTTGATAGAGATTGCAACCCACTAAGCACAGTAGTAGATGCAATATCAGTAATTACTGGATAAATACTTGTTGATAGAAAAATGCTCAGTTTCCTAAGATCTTTATCTTTGCCTCTACTTGCTGACTTATATCTTTCTCAGTGGTGTTAGGAATATTTCATTTTCTGGGTGTAAAGGACTATCCTGGTAGCAGCCCTGGGTTTCATGCTGCATGTGCAGCAGAAGTAACTCAAGTAATAAGGAAATCAGTCAAGGCACAAAATTAGTTAAAGGCACCAGTGTTAAAACAAGTCAGCTATCAAACTTTTAGAAGTAAGTCTTCAGAAACAGGGCTTAAAAATTATTAAGCATCCTGAAGGCAAGCCAAGTTTTCACCCAATAACAATAATTGCAAGATAAGATATATTGAACACTTAATTTTTGCAAAACATTATTCTAAGCACATTATGTGTATAAATGCATTTCATCCTCACAGCAAAACTAAGAAGTAAAATGATTAACATAAGACTTAGCAGTGTGAACTCTAACTCCAGGTGGCTTGCCTTCTGACCCTGGTGTCTCCGTTTATTAGTACGATGACTTTAGACAAATGACCTAAATCCTCTCTGCTTGGTTTCCTCACTTGGAAAAGGGAACTGATAAAAGTACACACCTCAGTTGATGTCAATCTTGATGTTGCCACAGTTGAATGAGTGGAACATAGTAGACACTCATGTTCATTAGCATTACTCTTTATTACACCCCCCCGCCCTCCCCAATTTACAGATGAGAAAGCTGAGGCCTTCTTAATTAATTAACAAGATGTTAATTAATTTACTCAAAGTGACACTACTAATAAGTTATCATTCATGTGAACCCAACTAGACAACAGTAGTAATTCAACTCAATCCAACAGATGTGAATGCCTACCATAGAAGTCACTGGGTGTCATTTCAGGAGAGAAAGATAAATAATATAACTCTGCCCTCAAAAGAATGCTCTCTGGAGGAGGTAGGGGAAACCGTCATGAGACTAAGATCAAGCTTCTATGATCATGTCAAATACTGCCATAAGCAATGGTTTTACAAACACAAAATACAGGATGGTCAATTCTGATTGAGGAAATTTCAAGATGTCTTCACCCAAGAGAGAGCATCTGAACTGGACTCACAAGGATGAATGGAATGTGAATGGATAACCTGAATTCTATTTTGTTTTTTCCCTTTTTTCTAGGCTGATTCCAACAAAACCAGAATTGATGAGGCCAACCAACGTGCAACAAAGATGCTGGGGAGTGGTTAAATGTGCGCGCCTATGTTCTCCTCCAAATGCTGTCAGACAAGACAGCACCTTCATGCTTTTCTCATGGTATTACCTAGTAGGTCTGCACACATACACCCATAAGTCCACCCCCATTGTGAATGTTGTCTTGTGTCACCCATCAGCTTCCCAAAAATATTATGTGTCTTTTGTTCCTTCTGGGTCTCTTTCTTTCCAAAGGTTGTATATAGCAGTCATTTGGTGGCTCTAACTTCCTGCATAAGATGTCTTGGGTTCATTGTTATTTTTCTCTCCTCAGTGGCGTTTTCTGAATGACAACAATGTAGGAATGCTCAATGTGCTGTTGATTCTTTCAATACACAGTATTGTTCTTGTAAAACTGTGACATTCCACAGAGCTGCTGCCACGGTCCTTTTTTTTGGGTATCAGGCTCTGAAACTCAAAATTTGCTGTCTTTGGTTTCTCATGGCTATCATCTGTCTTTATGATTTCATGATTAGACAATGTGGAATTACATAACAGGCATTGCACTAAAAGTGATGTGATTTATGCATTTATGCATGAGAACTAAATAGATTTTTAGATTCCTACTTAAACAAAATCTTTCCATGACAGTAGCATACTGATGAGAAAACACACATACATGCAACAGCAACAACAAAACAACAAAGCATGCTCAGTATTGAGACACTGTCAAGATTAAGTTATACCAGCAAAACTGCAGTAGTGTCACTTTCTTTCTGTCAATATATAGACGTATTAACCATAATCATCCTTTTTTTAAAAAAAAGAATTTTAAACAAAGATGGATTTGACACACTCACCATTTAATCATGTCCAGCAAAATAAATGTTTGGTTGAAATTATGTCAAATGGATGTAATATAGGGTTTGTTTGCTGCTTTTGAAGGCTGTGTTTTGGAGAAAGCAATCTTGCTGTGAAACAGTGTGGAGATGTAAATTTTATAAGGCTGACTCTTATTAATCACCATTTCCCCTGTGGTTTGTTATCAGTACAATTCTCTGTTGCTTAACCTAGAGCTATGCACACCAAATTCCTGAGATGTTTAGTAGCTGATAAAGAAACCTTTAAAAATAATATAAATGAATGAAATATAGATAAACTGTGAGATAAATATCATTACAGCATGTAATATTAAATTCCTCCTGTCTCCTCTGTCAGTTTGTGAAGTGATTGACATTTTGTAGCTAGCTTAAAATTATTAAAAATTATAGACTCCAGATGTCTGCTTTAATTTCTTCATGGACCCCTTCTGATTTTGCACTCACACAAGAAGAGGAAGCCTGGTTATTCCATCCCATTGCTCCTAAGTATCCAGTTATGTGTGTGGAGGACACTATATGGGAAAAACAAAGTTGTCTCTCTCTCTTTTTTTTTAATTGGGGAATTGGAGGAGAGGAACAGTGTTGGGGAATTGGGGAGGAGGACCAGCCAAGTTGTTGTTCTTCAATCTTAGTTGTGGAGGGTGCCAGTCGCCATCTGGCTGCATGTCGGCAGCTCATGGTCTCTAAGCTCAAGGTGCTGTGTTACAATCTTAGTTGCAGGTGGGCATAGCCACCATCTCATGCACGAGTCAAACCAGCAGCCTTGTTGTTAAGAGCACACACTCTATCCACTGAACCATCCGTCCAGCAGCTCAGCTCTAAGTGCTGAGTTCAGTCTTAGTTGCAGGAGGGCGTAGCCCACCATCAAACAGGCAGTCTTGTTAGGAACACGTGCTCTCACCAGCTGAGCTGTCCTGCCACCTGTTGGCAGCTCAGCTGCAGCTCAGCTCGGGCGCAGCTCACTGGCCCATGTGGGAATCAAACCGGTGACCCTGTTGCTCAGAGCTTGCACTCTTAATCAACTGAGCCACTCAGCCTGCCCTGGCTTAAGTTTTATAATCTGTTTCAGATATACTTGTGTGTAGATTCAGCTTTGGCTATGAGAGGATATATAGTTTTCCGAAAGACATAGAAAAAAAAACAACAGAAAAAAATCTGTGTTACTCCGACTTCGCCCTATATAGATTTAGGTATATCAGGTATTGGTTATCTTCCTTCCTTTCTCCAATATACCTCCACCAAAACTGAGCCCTCCACAACCACCACCACTGCTGCCCCAACTTTTTTTAATAGCTTAATTGACATGTCATACAATTCACCCATTTAAAGTATATGGTTCAATGGTTTTTAGTATATTCAAAATTGTGCAATCAAATTTTAGAATCTTTTTATCACCCCGAAAATAAACTCCATACCTATTAGCAGTCACTCTCATCCCACTTCCGCCAGCCACAGGCAGCCACTAATTTATGTTCTGTCTCTATATATTTGCCTATTCTGTACATTTTATATAAATGGAATTATACAATATGTGGTTCTTTGTGACTGGCTTCTTTTATTTAGTATAATGTTTTCAAGGCTCATCATGCTGTAGTATATAACAGATATTCATTCCTTTTTATGGCCAAATAATATCTGTATATGGAAAGTACATTTTGTTTATTCATTCATCCATTGATGGCCATTTGGACTGTTTTCACTTTTTGGCTATTATGAGTTATACTGCTTTGAACATTCATATACAAATTTTTGTGGGGACATATGTTTTCAATTCTCTTCACATTAACACTTTTTCCACCGTCATTGCCTCTACCACCAATACTTCTGTCACCATCGCCTGTACCACCATCACCACTGTCTCCACTACCACCATCTTCACCTTTCCACTGCCTCTGCCACCTCGCCAACATCTTAACTAGCACCTCCACCTTTGTCACTGCTTCCTTCCCAATCACCACCATTACCTCCCTCACCCCTACTGCTTCCTCCGCCTCTCTCTCTGTTTTATCCCATAATAGCATGTAGATTAATTTATCCTGGATGGCCTGGTTAGCTGCCAGATAATTTCACCCGCAGCTCTGTGGATTTGGCAAAAGCTGTTAAAAAGTGAAAACAGTGATGACAAATTCATTCTCAGTAAATGTTTACAGTTCTTGACCCTCTTTCAAAGCCTCAGAATAGGTTCCAGAGATACCCCCAGATGCTCAGGGAAGTTATTCTAAGGACCAACTAACACATTTATTCCTTAAAACTATGGGAGCAGAGAGGATGCTAGAAGAGAGAGAAAGCGAATAAATATACTGCATATGTCAAAGCTGCTAACAGGTCAATGTATTGGCCATGTTAGAAAATTCTGTTCCAAACTCCATCTGTTCTCAGTCATGTGAGTGAGTGTGTTTCCACATTGTCTGAGCAATTAAAACCCCACACTGGATGCATGGGAAGATATGGGCATTTTGCTTTAAGGCCCATCACATAATTCATTCTGAAGCATATTTCCTTTGATAATTGAGTTTGTCCAGCTTCAGTTCTAATGGAGTCAGCTCCTTTTGGCTAAAGGAAGACATCCCCCAGGGATGAATCAACTCTGGGTAATGCACCAACTCAGGAAGTACATTAGAAACATAATGCTTGGGGTAAGGCAGAACACTGTAAAGGATAAATCTTCCATCTCCCTCATACATGACCATTCTACAAAAGACCAGAAGGTCAAAGGTGGTCCTCGGTCCTAGTAACAGAGTCCTTTCCTCTGTCTGCCTCTCCATTTCTCGTTGCAGTTATCCTTCTTCCACATCATTGCCCAGCAGTTTTGACCAACTTTCCCCAATATTAATGTCACTGATTTGTCCACAAATCAATGATTACACTGGAAAGTAAGAGAAAAGGAAGGAAATTTATACTTTGTGATCATCCAGTATATATCAGGTGCTGTATTAAGTGCCATATTTTTGTTGACATTAAATCCTCTTTAAAACTGCAAAATTGGCATTATTATATAATGCCTCATTTTACAGAAGAAGAAATTCATAGTTTATTTGAACATGATCTCTCAGCTAATAAGTGATGTAAGCATGATTCAAACCAGATGTGTGAGACTCCAAAGCTCACTCAAAAGAGATCTGAAAGATAAGTCCAGGATTGTACCTCTGTCAGTTCAGCCAGTCAGGAAATCCCAGAAGACATTCTGCTTCACAAAAATCAGCAAAGAGGGCTGCTGGTTAGCTCAGGTGGTTAGAGCACACAGGCTTATAACACCAAGGTTGCCAGTTCGATTTTCACATGGGCCGCGGACCTGCGCCCTCCACAACTATAACAGATTGAAGACAGCTACTTGATTTAGAGTGGATGGGTTCTGGAAAAACACACTGTACCCCAATAAAATTTCTAATAATAATAATAGTAATAATAATAATAATAATAATAATAATGCTTTTAAAAACAGCAAAGAAAATATACAGGATTTCTTAGCAAAAGGTCTTGGCAAGCCTGCCTTTCATTCATTTCCTCATTCATTCGTGAACTATTTATTAAGTCTATGGCAGGTCCTGTTCTGAGTATTGAGAGAACAGCAGTAGAGGGAAAAACAGGGTAAGTTCCCTATTTTCATTGAACTTATTGCACTCAAGCTCGGGGGGAGATAGATAAAGCAAGAAGTAAAATATAAAGTATATCAGATTGTAAGTGTCAGAAATGTAAAGCAATGAAGCGGGTAAAGAATGCAGGACATGGAGGGAGAGGGTGTTATTTTAAAACAGAGTAATCAGGGAAGACCTCAGAGATAAGGAGAAGTCTAACCACAGAATTCTTCAAGGTTTGGAGTAACTAAAATGATATGCCCAGAGTGAACCCATTTTGGAAGCAGAGGCTGGGGGTGATGAAACAAATGTACAAACTGCCTATATATTTTCATTAAGTAATACTGAAGCACCTCCTCATTAACTCAGTCTGAAGTATTTCCTGCATTGTCCAGTAAAAACTTTCAAAATTCTTGGCCCAAGCAAGGAGAAAAGTTCAGGATAAAAGGCAGTGTGCAAGGAATGAATATCAAGTCAAATTTTCTTAGAAGAGTAGAAATTGTTGACTTTGTGGTCCAAGATTTTGGCACTCTTGCTCTAAGTGGTTTTCGTACAATCATCAACTTAGTAATTGACCTTCAAGCTGGCTAGTCATCTACCTCAGGTTCTCAATCTAGGTTTTGGAAACTCAAATCCATCTCATAGAATGTAGGCAGTTTTGGGAAACAAGGAAAGTCAGGAAAAGTAAACCGTTAATAAGTCATTTAACCATAGTGCCCACAGCTATTGCCAGGATGAGCTGTCAAAGCATCTAACTGTTCTAGAGTCCCATTCCCAGGCAGGGTGTCACCTGCTGATATTTTCTACTCACCATTACACAATCCTTAGCTCCTCCAGCCTTTTGCCATAGTGGTTTATTGCCTTGAGTTCATGATTCTCTTTCCACATGCAACTTAGAAAAATTTGGCCCCTAACCCTACTGGACACTGCTGGTGCCCTGCCCACATCCTCTGAGCACTTACCTCTCCTCACAAAAAGCTGTTTGCAGTGAAGAATTTAGCAATTCTCTGCCTTAGGTCAGGAAACACAAAAAGTCCTGAAATTAATGCCCCTCGGAGCAGTCCTCAAACAAGGAAGAATGGGGATGGGTGAGTGGATACCCCGTTTCCTTGGCCCCAGGTTGGGATACCTCTAGGTGTGTGTTCTACATTTTCTCTCAGTGGTCTCGCAACAGAATTAATTTCCAGTTCCTCACATAATAACTTCCCTGGTAATTATCACTGTCTTTATTGGCTGTCTTTTCTTAACTGTTTCTTTCCCACCTCACTACTTGTTTTTCCTGGAATCTTTTCCCAAATAAACCAGTTGCCTCAAAATCCTTGTTTCAGGTACTGCTTCTGGGGAAGCCCTACCTCAGACAAGACTTTCTCAAGACATACATGCCTGCTTCTGAGCATCTCTCCCAAAACACTGCCATAGAGAAAGGTGCTGCCTTCCACCTATTTCCCAGCATTCCTTGGACGTATCCTTCTTCGGTGAAATGCCTCTTAATTCCTACTACCTGCACTTAAAAACCGGCATTCCTCAGTGGTGAGCAAGGAGCTACATGCAAAATGATACCAACTACTGCCTGAGTCCTTCATCTGTGCAGCTTCTGCCTCTCCCACACCACCACACCCTCCCCAAACAAGGGTTGGAGGAACAAAAGTTTATAGTAAAAGTCAATGTGCTACCTCCCACAAACTTATAAACGGTAGCAATCAAGCTGCTATGGCAACAGAATTCAAACAGGGATCTTGTGACTTTGCTGTCTTACCTATTTCACAGGATGGTTAAGAATATCAACTAGGATAGTGTTCATTAAAATGCCTTATAAATCTT